CTTATCTGATGTCAGTGAACCTGAGGCTTGGGTTGAACGCCAAGCCGGTGAGTGGGAGAATGACACCCAAATTCAAGCCTTGCGTTGCCACATCCCAGGGCGTGGGGAGGACAGCCTGTCCACCAGGAAGGGTGGGCTGCCTCCCGTTGCTCCCACGGATGTAGCTGTGGCCCTGGCACGGGGCACACTTACTGGCATTTTAAGATAAAAGTTATTTGCTTTGCAAAATAGAGGCAGACTCATAGGTAAAGATCAGCTGACAGCTCTGTGGGGTGGGGTTGGAGGGATTGAACGAAAAAAAAGGAAAAGAATGTACAGACTTGGACAACAGTGTGGAGATGGCGGGGGAGAGTGTGGGTGGAGGTGGAAGAGGGTAAAGGGAGATAAATGGTAACGGGAAAAATACAATAAAACATATATTGAATAATTTAAAAAGTAAAAATAAAGTTACTTGCTTTGGAAACAGAAGTTGCCATTCAAATCTTAACTTTGCTACAAATTAGGCAGGGATTTTAGTCAAGTCACCAAAATTCTCTTTGTTTTAGTTTTCACATGTGTTAAATGAAAATGGTAGTACCTACCTTATAGGATTGGGACTTTGTCCTTGAGGTGAGCCAGACCCCACAAGTGTTTCCAAGGCAGGCAGTGGAGGTCCTGTCCAGTGCATCCCACGGTAAGGTTCTAAATTAAGCCCGAACTCCACAGCCCCCCTTCAGGGCCCCCAGATGCTCACCTGAGTGATCATGAGGTGCCAGCTCCCTGCTGGACACTCTTTCTAAGTGGGGAATCAGTAGCTTTCACAATGTATTTAGAGCATTAAATATGAGCCTGGGGAGCTGGGTTCTAGTTCAGGCGCTAAAACACTTTCGACATTAAAATTAGGGGCTTGAATTGTTCTGGCAACAGCTTTAAACAGATTTAAAACAACTCCAAGTAGTGAATCTGGTTTGGTTATATTCCTATTTTTAAACAGTTTTCTTTCTCTGTCCATTTTTTAATTTAATCTCTATTGTATTTTTTTTCCATTGCCATTTAGTCCCCTCCTACCCACTAGTTTTGAAACTTTCTTTCCTCAGCCTGATCCTTCTCAGTGGGGGGATGTGAGGCAGAATCTGGTTCTGTGTATCTGGTGGGGTCTCTGTGTTTCTCTTTTAACCTCTGCTGTTTTGATAGCTAGAAGTTCCCGTGGTGTTTATGGTGGTATTTCTGTGCCTTGCCTTCCCCAGGTCCAACCGTGGAAAATAATACAAGAAAATGATATTACTGGTATTGCCAGTATAAAATAAAGCTTGTAGCAAACTATAAGGTGTTAAAGGTCTCAATTATATCATCTTCAAATAATGGATGCTGAGTTTTATCAAAGAATGAGGACAGTAATGTCAGTTGGTGAAGACTCTTGGTCCCTGTTAATAGTATTTCAAGTATAATCTTTGTGTGGGCACCAAATTTCTTTTGTCTCTTGGGGAAAGTCTGGGTAATGGGTGTGTTGTTATATACTTAGCAGAGAACATACCTTGTCTGTTCACTGGAGGCAGTGAATTTTGAGCTATTTTAATTTTTTAAGTATATTTTATTGATTATGCTTTTACAGTTTTCCCCAGTTTTGCTGCCCCTCTGCCTGGTACCCACCCCCCTTCACTCCAGCAATTCTACCCCCTCCACCTTAGTTCATGTCCATGGGTCATGCATATAAGTTATATGGCTTTCCCATTGCCTATACTGTTATTAACATCCCCTGTTTTATTTTATTACCTACCCATTTATGCTTCTAAATCCTTGTATCTTTTCCCCCAATCTCCCTCTTTCCCCTCCCAGCTGGTAACCCTCCATGTGATCTTCATATCTGTGGTTCTATTCCTGTTCTGGTTGTTTGCTTAACTTGTTTTTGTGTTTTAGATTCAGTTGTTGATAGTTTTGAGTTTGTTGTCATTTTACTGTTCATAGTTTTGATCTGCTTTTTCTTAATAAGTCCCTTTAACATTTTATATAATAAGGGCTGGGTGATGATGAACTCCTTTAGCTTTACCTTGTTTGGGAAGCAATTTATCTGCCTTTCAATTCTAAATGAAAGCTTTGCCCGATAGGGTAATCTTGGATGTAGGTCCTTGCTTTTCATGACTTGGAATACTTCTTTGCAGCCCCGTCTTGCCTGTGAGGTCTCCTTTGAGAAATCAGCTGACAGTCTGATGGGAACTCCTTTGTAGTTAAGTCTCTGCTTTTCTCTTGCTGCTTTTAAGATTCTCTCTTTATCTTTAACCTTTGGCATTTTAATTATGATGTGTCTTGATGTGGTCCTCTTTGGGTCCAACTTATTTGGGACTCTCTGTGCTTCCTAGACTTGTATCTATTTCCTTCACCAAATTAGGGAAGTCCTCTTTCATTATTTTTTCAGATAAGTTTTCAATTTCTTGCTCTTCCTCTTCTTCTTTCTGGCATCCCTTTGATTTGGATCTTGGCCCTTTTAGAGATGTCCCAGAGACCTCTTAAACTCTCCTCACTTTTTTTTTTAATGTGTATTTCTTCATTTTGTTCTAGATGAATGTTTATTTCTTCCTTATGTTCCAAATTGTTGATCTGAATCCTGGTTCCCTTCTCTTCCCTGTCAGTTTCCTGTATATTTTTTTTATTCCTTTAAGTGTAGCCTTCATTTCTTCCCTTATGCTCTTGCCCTGTTCAATGAGATCTTTGAGCATCCTGATCACCAGTGTTTTGAACTGTGCACCTGATAGGTTGGCTATCTCCACATCGCTTTTTCTGTTCTGTTCCTTCATTTGGGCCATATCTCTCTGTCTCCTCATTTTGGCAGCCTCCTTGTGCCCATGTACTAGGTAGAACCACTTTGATTTCCTGTCTCAGCACACTTGTTAAGTTGTATGAAGCAGAGCCTTGGGTATTTACCAGGGTGGGGCAATATGCTTCAACACTTTGTGGCTCTTTGTGTGGGGAAGGGATTGAAGAGAGGACAGTGCTGCTGCTAGCTGACTTCTGGGGGTTGGCCTGGCACTTGCCCCTTTTCTAGTCACTTTACTCACTTCCTGTATGTGACTGGCACCCCTTGCTGTCCTGGTTGTGGTCCTCAGAATGGGTGAGTTGGCATATGTTCCGGGCTCTCCTCAGAAACTAGGAGTTTCTTCCACCACCCTAAACCCCACTGGGTTTACAGCTCATTTTATGAGGTTTCATTTTTCTAACACTGAGACCCTGGGCTGCAATGATCTAGCCTAGGGCTGGGATCACTTGCTCACAAGGTTATTATCCACCACACATGATTATTATCCACCACACATAAATGTGGGACCCCCATTCCACCAGCCTTGACTGCCACACCACAGATTCCTCTTCTCCACCCCTCCTACCCATCTGGATGAATATAGCTTCTTTAAATCCTTGGTTGTCAGACTTCTGTACAGTTCTGGCTGTTTTATGTTTTTAAGTTAGTTGTGATTCTTCGTATGATTGTGCAGTGAGGTGAAGCTTGTCTACCTATGCCTCCACCTTTAGCTGTTTTTAAATGGAAGGTTTTCCTTGAGAACATGTGGATTATACCCCCCATTAAAAGTTCTATTTTGCTATAGGTGATGTGCTACATAAAAACAAAGTGAGCTTTTTAACAAGAGAATATCGTTGCATATTTTCTATAGTTAACTCTAATTCAGTTGATTATTTGCAGAAATCAGTTCTTTCCATTGAAGTTTTTGTCATCTTGAAATTTATTTTAGATTTGTTTTTCTTGCTTGCTGTAGTATTGACCTGATTTTGATTCTTCACACAATGACATGGATGCTGTAAAGGGTCTTTATTGGCCATGTTGTTCTTGTTTTTCAACCTGAGTCTATGAAATAGGAAGCTCTGCACATTCAAAAATAGGACACTTAAAATTTTTTATTGTTTTGATGGTCACTTACAGAGTATAATGGCTAGTGCACATTTTTGCAGACTTGAAAGTTCATGTCAGCAATCTTTCACGTCCTTAACTACTTCACCTCCTGTCTAATCCCTAAACTAAGGGAAAGACAGTCATTTACCCGCAGGAAGAGACTGGGCATTTATAACAAAACATCATTTTTCCAATAAAAACTGTATTTAAGAAACATAAATAATGGATGCCCTTTAAACTTCTAAATGGCTTTGAGTATATTCATAGCTTAGCTTCCTTACTTTTTTTACATGTCCAACCAAAAATGATGCTGTTGGTGTCCTACATAGAGCCTTGCTTTCTCAGTATGAATTGAATGGGCTTCCATGCTGTTGAGAGGCTTTGGGATTTTATTCCTTCATTCCCTTAGCCACATCATATGTAAAGCATGAAGCTGGGCCCCACAGACCCTGGAAAAGCTTCGGCCTGTCTGGGGTTGCCACCGAAAGCACAAGGAAGGAAGGGAAGGAACTCCTTTTGTACTGTATATGGTACTTAAGTGTTTACAGAATCCACATTTGTATATAAGTGAACTATGTATAAATACTGTAATAAAAATTCAGCCCTGACCTGTATGGCTCGGTTGGTTGGAGGGTTTTCCCATCCACCGAAATGTTGTGGGTTCAGTCCCTGGTTGGGAGCCTACAAGAGGCAGCCAATCAGTGTTTCTCTCCCCCTTCACCACATCCTCTCTTTCTAAAAACAGTAGCAAAGTGTCCTCAAGTGAGGAAAAAATTAAAAATAAAGATACAATGAAATGCTTTGAAAGTTCAGATTAGAGAAGTGAACTTCTAGCTTGAGAATCAGGAAAGAATGGTCCTTTGAGGACTTCAAGAGATGGAAAGAATTAAGGCAAACATGTTAAAAATAGCTTTCCAGCTAGAGGCACAGCAAGAAGAGGAGAAATCACATCACAGCAAAGCCAGAGGTTTGGCTGTATCTACATCACAGGCAAGGCTTATCGGAAAGCAAAATTAGAAGGTTAGCCCTGAGTGCCGAAGTATTTATTTTTTATCCCAAAGCTGTGGAGAGTCCAAGGAGGTTTTTGTGCTGGTTTTATTTTATCCTTTGTATTGGTTTCGGGTATACAGCTTAGTGACTAGATAATCATATACTTTACACAGCATTCCCCTCGATTTTGTTCAGTACACCACCTGGCACCATACACAGTTATCACAATATTATCGGCTATATCCCTATGCTGTCTCTCCATCCCCATGACTGTTCTGTAGCTACCAACTTGTGGTTTTTAGTCCCCTCACCTCTTTCACCCAGTCCCCAGTGCCCCTCACCTCGGGCAACCACAGTCCTCTCTCCGTGTCTCTAAGTGTGTTTCCACTTTGTTTCTTCACCTGTTTGGTTATTTAGCTTCCACTTATAGGTGAAATCATATGGTATTTTTCTCTTTCTCTGATTTATTTCACTGAGCACAGTACCCTCTAGGTCCATGCTGTTGCAAACAGTAAGATTTCATTTTTTTTTATGAACAAATAGTATTCCATTGTCTGTAGGTGCCACCACTTTTTAAAAAGGTTTTATTTATTTGCTTCTAGAGCAAGGAGAAGGGAGGGAGTCAAGGAGAGAAACATCAGTGTGTGGTTGCCTCTCGTGCCCACTACTGGGGACCTGGCCCACAACCCAGTCATGTGCCCTGACTGAGAATCAAACAGGTGACCCTTTGGTTTGCAGGCTGACACTCAATCCACTGAGCCACACCAGCTAGGGCATATGTGCCACAGATTTTTTATCCACTCATCTCCTGAGGGGCACTTGGGTTGCTTTCATGGTTTGGCTACTGTAAATAGTGCTGCAATGAGCTGGGGGGTTTGAGTGAGATATTGAAACCAATAGTTGAGGAAGAAAAATATGGCTGTGGCCCCCATGAAGTGGAGGGGAAGAGAATGGCTGGAAGGCAAAGATGGGACTAAGACAATGGGTCCTAGTGATTTTAAAGATCAAATCAGCGGATGAGGCAGCCACCAGCATGAAAGTTGAAGGAGGCAAAAGAATCAAAAATGATGCCAGGTACATAAAACTGAGATCTTAGCTTCTCCCCATGCTGTGTCATTGTCCCTTTTCCCACTCTCCATCTACAGGACAAAGCTCATAGAGTAGAGAATATGGAGATATAAAGAGCTTGAAGTCCCCCAGTCAGGCAGATGTGTCAGTTGCCGTAAAGAGAGTGGTGATGCCTTTTCTCCTGTACTGATGTTCTTACAATACTGGTAGTGTTTTTTTAAAGCTAGTGCTTTTGTAATATTTTATTCTGAAGCACTGTCTCTTAGGAGCTCAAAAATGGAGCTAGAGCATAGAGCTCTTTGCACTCATGCTCATGTTATCCCAAGAATATATGTTTTCACAAATGGCGTTCCTTTTTCTCTAAGGTGATTTCACTATTGTAAGGTAAGCAGTGGAGTGATCTGGGGCTTTTGGCATGAGAAAATAAAGGAATGGATCTAAGCAACTATTCAGACTACCCAGGCACAAAGCTATGCGATAGATAAAGTATAAACCGTCAGTGTTATAGTAGTTGCTGGCATGGTGGATAATAAGTATGATATTGCTTGGAGCAAAGCAAATAGTAAAAATCACGAGAATGAGGAGACTCGCCTTAACATACCACAACCACCTATTGTCATATGCATTAAGCGTCCGAATGATGGTTGTGTAGCAGTAGATAATGACCACAAATGGAATTAAGAATCCAAAAAATGCCAAGGAGATGAAGTAGTAGAGTTGGAAGAGAGATGAAGATGCACATATGTTGTGGACGTCATGGCAGGTGGTAATGTCCCTGTGAACAAGGTAATACTCCTGCTTCAGGATGAAAAATGGCAGCATGTATAAGAAAACTGTTGCCCAAACCAACCCACACATTATCAAGGCATAGGTACGCTTGGGCAGCCCCCGGTAAATAAAAGGATGGACAATAGCTAGGTAGCGGCTGATGCTGATGCTGGCGAGGATCAGAATGGAGCAGTACATATTGCCGTAAAAGATGACTGTGGTGGCCTGGCACAAGACCTCTCCAAATACCCAGTTGTTCCCATTGAGGTGGTAAGCTATTTTAAAGGGCAGTGTGGCACAAAAAAGAAAGTCTGCAATGGCCAGATTGATATAGAAGATGGTCGTGCAGATGGATCTGGTCCTGAAGAAGAGCATCCACAAGGTCACTGCGTTGGCTGGTACACCTACCGCGAACACCAGGATGTAGATGGCAGGTATCAGTCTGGTACTTAAGGAGCTGCTCAGATACCCCACGGTAGCATTATTCACGTGGAGATTTGAAACGCTTTCTTCAGGGCACTTAATTTTTACATTTGTGGTTTCTGCCCAGTCTTCTATGGCGGAAAAGGGGATCTCTTCAAAAGTATTCAGGGGAGCTCCACGGAAGGTCTTAATAAGTAACGTTGGCTCTTCCAAGTTGTCTGTGTTGTTTCCCATACCTGTCATTAAACAGAAGTATTAACGTGATATTTTGGTGAGCCACATCTCTGGTTCAGAAGTCAGTAAAACTAAATGTATTATGCTACACAATTTATGTAGTTGTAAAATTTAGGGGTGTTTTTATTTTTAAAAAATGATTATAGATCAGGCAGTTAAAGGCATATCATATGCCCCAGCACCATGCTGGCCAGTGCAGGAGCATAAAGTAGATGACAACTCCCAGCGTGTAAGGGATTTATATTACTGTTGGAGGAAAACAAATACCACACCAGCCCATTATAGGCCAACATCACACTGACTGTACACTGTATAGTCACTCAGCCAATAGCTGACAGATTTAGGTGTTTGAGCAAAATGCCAAGGAAAAGATGAATGTAGCAAAGATGAGAGAGGTTCATAAAGAGATGGAATTTAATAAAGGAACAAGATTCTGATAGATGACGAATGGGCAGCGGCATAGTGTGGGCTCTAATGGGAGCTAGGAGTGTCAGATAAGTTAATTCAACAAGTGCTTATTGCCTATTTTATTATATACAGTTTTTAAATAAACTCTGTCTCTGTCTTCAACTCTCAGACAAGTGGAAAAGTTACACAAAAATGCATTGTATTATGCTAATAAAGCTCATTCTAGAGATAAAGTTGAAAGATTAGGTTACAGCAAAATCTCTGAAAGGCCCTTTACCTAAGAAATCATGTGCCCATTGGTAGATGCTGGAGTTCTACACAAAATATTACGAGCACGCAGATGGCCATTGTGGTGGACAGCGTAAAGATGCTCCAGAGTTTCTCTCTGCTAATGCCTGGAGCCTGCAAATGTGTTACCTTATATGGCAAAAGGGACTTTGCATATGTGAGTAAGGATCTGGAGATATAGAGAGTATCCTGGATTGTCCAGGTGGCCCAGTGTAACCATAAGAGTCCTTACAGTAGGGAGGAAAAAGATCAAAATCATGAAGATGTTATGCTGCTGGCTTTGAAGATGGCAGAAGCCATGAGCCAAGGAATGCAAGTCACTTCGAGAAAAAGGCAAGAAAACAGATTCTCCTCTAGACCCTCCAGAATGAACACCGCCCTATTGTCTCCTTGATTTTAGGACTTGTAACCTCCAGAACTATAAGATATTAATAAATGATTCAAGCCACTAATTTATGGTGATAATTTATGGTGATCTATACTTAGACCTTTTCATCATTATATAATTTTTCTATAAGTTAATCTTCGACATGATTAGAAAGTAGATTGCCTCAAATTTCTGTTAAGATGAACTTTTATGCTGAATTTAAACTTCATGCTTGTCCGTTTAAAATACCATTTCTCTGCCAGTTCCTTTTCACGTGACCTTTGAATTTCTACATGCTGAATACTTGAAGCTGGTGTTCAGTAACGTGGGTCTCATTCAAAGCCAGTTTCGCTTCCTGTTTTCATCTCTACCAGTTGACCTCCAGTGAAATTGAAGCCTCCTTCATAACCCTAAGAGTGCACAAACTGAACTGAGTGTGTAACAAAGAGGGAGGGGCAGGAAGATGCTCAGGTGTTATTTAAGGGAAGACAGATTAAAGAAAAGGACAGAAAAATCTGGGAAGTGGTGGTGGTTTGTGCCTGTGTTTGGATGTGAACTGTGAGGCATGCGGAGGTGTGTTATATGTCACTCAAGTTCAACCACACAAACCCTTTTGCTCACTTTTGAGTTTTGGAAAATTCTTGTACATCCCCCAAATAGATGTGCCTTCCAAGGTCGGCACAAAGCTGGAAGATGGGGGCTGAAAGCCCTGCTGCACGAGTTCTTTCCCTTCAGGATCTGAGGAGAGAGCCATTGAAGCCAAGTGTTTGTCAGTTTTCAGAAAATTCCCGTGATTGAGCAAGATATCATGCCAAAATCATGCTAATGCTAAACACCAACTCTGAAAAAGTCTTGAATCCATTTATCGTGAGAATCCCAGCTGATTGATTCAGCATGGGCACGTCTTTTATTCTCCATGGCCTGGCTTTCCTTAAGAATAAATAGCACTCACTGTTAACATTTTTAAAGATCTTCTGAATTCTTTATACAGGTTTTCATTTAGCAGAATGATTCTAACATGTTTTCCAACCCAGGAAAAGGCCTTAAAGAGGCTCAGGTCCAAAGGAAGCGGACTCCAACCGCTTTGCATTTCTCCCCCACCCTCCTAAAGAAAGCAGAGTCACCGGCTTGAGACCCCACCCACATCTTGAAGGAACCACCTCCATCCAGAAGCCTTGTTTCTTTTGCTGTTCTGCTGCGTGGACTCATCCACTCCAGAAGTAGTAGTCACTCTATCCCATTCCTAAGTCCCACGCATGCTGCTGTCCACAGGTGCTCTGAGCACTCTTTTCAGTGATGCGAGCTGTCAGTTTTAGCGACACTCCTTTACAGAGGTTTGCGTGTTGTTTTTTTGTTTTGTTATGGTTTTTCCCTCCTTGTTGATCCCAACAATGTGGACTGGAGTGTGACCTAACGGTAAAAGCTGGAGATGCAGATCTAGCCCAGGTTGGTTAATTTGGGAGCAAGCAGAAAGTTCCAGGCTCATAAAAATCACATATAAGGGTAGAGAGAACTAAATCTTTTGTACCACTGAAAGTCAAAAAAGGCATTCCATTAAGAAATACTAATTAATTAGCATTGCTGATTATTGAAAGAAAACCGCTTGACCTCTCACAGTGCCCCTGTTTTCCCCTCTGGCATCACCAGAAGGTATAAACATAGGATTTTTTAAATCTCTTTTTAAAAGTTCTGTGTTTGCTGAATCAGAGGAAATGCTTAGAAAATGAAAAACCTCTCACAAAGAAAATCAACTCGAAGTAATTGGAGAGGTCTAAAATCGTGACTATGCCAAAGATTTCGAAATATAAGTAGAGAACACTTAGTCTTTAACAAGGTTTAAATTATAGCTATTTACTTCCATGGTGCCACCTTTTAATATCTAAGATCAAACTCTGCCTTTTAGGTTGCAATTTGTGTGAAATACGAAGCCAGTTAGTTTCAGTGACGCAAACCAGCACCTCCTTCCTACCCTGTAAGAAAAGAAGCGCTTACCGCTCTGACAAGCAGTGGGTGAGAGAAGCATGACTGCGGCAGCTGCAAAGATGAGGGCCTTCATTCCGACGACCTGAGTCCCGTTCCCAAACGTTACCCAGTGTGGAAGGCGAGGGAGCACGGTTTCACTTCCTCTCTGTGTGTTAACAGCAGATGGAAATCTAGTGCTCTCTGTAGAACTGTGTTGCGTGCTCTGCAGGCAGAGAGCTTGCTCAGGTCGTCTTCCTGGAAGGGGTGTGACAGCACCCCTGTGTTGGTGTGCGTGACTCATACTGAGCCACTGTACACATGACATGATCCTGGAGAGAGTCGTTTAACTCTTACCCACCCCAAATAGTCCCTTCTGAATAGATGCTGTAAATCCCTCCCGCACACTTCTGTGCCTTGAAAGAATGCAGAGCGTGTACAGTCCTTTGTAGAAGCAAGCTGAGAATGGATGCTGACCAGCAGTTAGTTTTCACTCCGTCCCATTTTTCATTTTATACATTTTAAACATGGGGTTCTACTTAACAATTAGCTTCTACTTAATAATAATGAACAATAAAAATTATCCTTTTTAAAATTATCCCACCTATTTCAAATCTTAATTCTTAAACTCACTACATGATTATAAATTAAATAAATCATGGGAAGCAAACATTTTTGTGAAGTTAAAATTAATTGCTTGATTACTCTGAAGATTCACACTGGCCTGAATTTGTCATCAGCGCTTAGCCAGAACTTTTGCTCATCATATTCCAAGCCATTCAATAGGGTCAGCTATTAAGAGAGGGTGGGGGAGGTCATACAACAGTATTTGATTAAACTAAAACTAAAACCCAACATTGAAATGCAGAGGACTCCCTTTACTCCATGGGTGTTGGTGAGCAAGTCAACAATAAGTTTTTTTTTACTTGTGGTAAAATATACATAACATAAAATTCACCATCTTAACCATTATGAAGTGTTAACACATTATTAACACAACCCAGTAGGGTCAAATGTATTCACGTTGTGTAACATATAAGCTTTATCGAGTAATATTATGGAGGGTATGATTTAATTTGTAGGAAAAATACTGCATTATAACAGATTTTCCTATAATTAAAAAACTTAAGGTGAAATGTTAAGCCAGACAACCCATTTTATGGGCCTGTTGCCCATAAAATGCAGCAAGAATAAAAAAAAAATACCCATTTCACATGGGACTCAAAGGCTTGAAAAATAAGCTAGGAATGAATTGATCTGTGCAAACTTTTTACATGTGATTAAATTGCACCACACCAAGTTTACAAGCCAAAGTCACTCTTTAATACTTCAAGTACACAGCATATGGTAATCCATACTGAGATAAAATGCTATGTTATTATAGAAATAATAACCAAAAAACAAAGTATTGAACAGAGGGTACTTTTGTATTTAAATTTTTCTAGGAGTTTATTACTTGATTTGTAGATGGCCTAGTTTCTGGTCACTTAATCCATTTGTAACTCATGTTGAACCTGGCTGTTGAGCTGGAAGTAGAGCTGTGGCCATCCTGTAAATATATTTCCATTCTTCTAGAGAGCAGTCGAAGAGGGGGCGTTACATTAGTAGGGTTTGGTTTTTACTCGTGATTTTTTTTTAATACTTAGCAACTGTTGACTTGAATTCACTTGATTGGCAAAGTCTCTCTTTTGTTTGGCTTTTAAAATTAATCCCACCAGCTTTGAAGTAGGATTGTAGCTTTCTTTTTGTCTGGGTAAAAGTTTGTGTGGCACATCCGTTACAGTGATAAGTTACGAAGGGATATGGAAAATACCCTTCAAAAAACCTGAGACATCCATCAATGACCTTGTATACAGCTTAGGTATTAGGCTGTACCTTGTGAGTGCGGGCTTTCTTCTGTCTGGGAAACAGAAAAAATAGTTACTGTTCCCTTGTCTCTTCATTCCTCCTCTAATCTTCAACTTCCCATTTTAATCTTCCCCATTCATCCTGCCCAGAAATGGACATCTTACTAGCGCTGAGGGTTCCCATATGGCAGATCTAGCTGGAGATGACTGGGGAAGCAGGTGCCCAGCTTTCCGCAGTGGTCTTTGTTAGCCCCAAGGTTGCAGGATTGATATAAACATTTTTATCTCACTCTCAGGACCCCTTCCACATGCACTATCTCATGTCAGTGTCTGACGAAAGCAGGGTTGAAGCCTCCAAGGTGCTGCTGAATGTTACTACTCCTGTCTGCTTCTGTTCCTCCCTGGGTCCTAAAGGACGAAGGTGGTTCTCCATGGCTCCGATGAGCTACCTTCTCTTCATCACAGTTGTGCTTTTGGGGACACTTATTTCTACACACAGGCAAAGTTCCCATTTTTAAAAATGGACTGTCTCGTCCTCCCCCAGAAATTTGATTCCTACTGATAAAATAATCCACTCACAATCTAGGACAAGTTTATATAAAATCCAGTTGCTGTCTGGAAGTCTCAGTTAATTATCTTCCAGCACTGCACCTGTAGCGAGGTCATCAGAATCAACCCAAAGGTAAAAAAATTTGAGTGAAATTTAAACAAAGGAAGACAATTCAATACTTTTTTATTGGTGCTATCACTTTCTTTCTGAAACTAGTCTTTTCTGCCCCTTTGTAACTCAGTACCCCTACTTACTCTGAGTTGGTCCCATCTTGGCTATTTCTATGTTGTATATCTACAGTCAGTGCCCTAATCACATTGTATTATAATTATTTTTTGATATATCTGTGTCTTGTGCTAAACTGTTAGCTCCTTGAGGACGGTCACTATGTTTTTGTTTGATTTCTGTTTGTTTTCATTTTCATCTTTGTGTCCAATAAATATTGGTGTCATTGTGTTGCCCTCAAGCTTAGAGTACCCCCTGGCACTCTGGGCCTCCCTGGGAACCACAGGGACAGAGGGACAGGGGGATTGAGTATCTGGTGAGGATAACCAGAGAAGTCATTTTTGGAGGAGGGGGCAGTTGAATTAAGGCCCAAAGTGATAAGAAAAACTCACAGCCAAATAGCTGGGTCAAACATTGTGATGTAACAGAGTCTGGGTGAAGGTCTAGATCAGGGAACAGAGGAGTGTGAGGTGAAGCCAGATCATTAGATGCCCACAGTCCATGGCAAAGTTTTGTTTGCTCCCAACCTCCAGGAAAAGTCTTTGGAGAAGTTCAGGCCAGGGAGTGCTGTAATGAGATGTCCATTGGAAGCAATTGCCTGGTTCTCTGTAGACCACTGTGGTAGAGGGCAAACCTGAAAGTAACTAAGGCAAATAGGAGACCAGTGCTGTTCAGGGGAGAGGCACTGGGGGCTGAGCTGAGGATTGGCCAGGGAGAAGGGAGAAGTAGTTGGATTGGGGTCTTTCTTAATAGTTCATACAGCATATGGCGGACCTTGGTGGTTGCTAAATAAGAGCTTATGGAAATTATCATAAAATGGCTCTTTAAAAGAAGTAGTAATTCTATTTCATCCTCATGGACTGTTCTTTTTCTGTTCTCTGTCCATATTCCCAGGATCCTGAGAGTGCTTCTAACATTCTTTGGCTGGACGAGATACAGCACGCAGTCTGCAAGGCCAACTCGGATCAGGACAGAGCAAAGCAATGTAAGCCCTCGCCTCCTCCTGCTGGCCCAGCTCACCTTGCTTGTATCTGGTTATGCTTCCGAATTTTTATATTAATTAGTTTTTTAAAAATATGTGACTTTTAAGTTCTGAAGAGATTTGGACTTTCCTACCAATTTGAGTTCTTGAATGCATACTTATACAACAATTGGATTTGTGGGTTGCACTGTTTTCAATGACAAGGCGCTGTCTCCAGCAAAATCTGAAAATGTGGCTGAATAAAACCCATGAAGCAAAAATGGCTTCTAAACTCCCAGATTTATAGTTTTATCAAGTCCTTTTTTAATCTTAATTCTTAGGAAACTAGTCCATTTCTGTTCAATATATGTCCATCCTTCCATCCATGTTTTTCACTGTATTAGGGTTTTCCTGAGAAAGAACTACATAAATATTTTTCTCTGGAAACAACTGAACTACAAAGATGATAGATAGATGATAGATAGATAGATATTTGTGTCTATCTACACAGATAGATCAGTCTATCTGTTTTTCTATCTATATATACATCTATAGATATATACATCTATCTATAGATGTATATATACATCTATAGATGTATATATAGATGTATATAGATAAAGTGTATATATACATCTATCTATATACATATATATACATTGAGAGAGAAGAAGGGAGATTTATTTTAAGGAATTGGCTCGTGCAATTGTGGAGAGGCTGGCACATTTAAAATCTACAGGGAGCCTGGCAGAGGCCAGGTGGCAGCACTTAGTCACCAAAACACATGTGGACATGACCCTATGACAGACAGGAGAGTCAAAGCAGTAATCAGCACAGCCTGACTCACAGAGACCTGTGGAATCAGCTCATTGAACGTGTTCCTAAAAGTGAAGCAGACAGCCTACTAAATTCTTTTTTAAATTTTTATTTATTTATTTTTAGAGAAGAGGGGAAGGGAGGAAGACAGGGAGAGAGAGAAACATCAATCGGTTGCCTCTCGCATCCCCCCAACCTGGGACCTGGCCCACAACCCTCGCCTATGCCCTGACTGTGAATCAAACCAGAAACCTTTTGGTTCACAAGCCAGCATTCAACCTACTGGGCCACACCAAATAGGGCTAACTTTTTACTTGTACAAGTGGAGAAGGATTCTAGGTCAAGTGAATAGAAGTGTTATTTGAATCATAAAAACAGAAAGTCATGGCCCCTCAATCAATTCCCAGACTTGAGCCAGTTTATAGGCCCAGGACCCCTTGAGGAAAAGGAAGGCAGGAGCTGCTTGAGAAAGGACTCTGCCGCACCACGAAAACTCTATCTTTCTCCCAGGCTTCCCCCAAAGAGACCTACAGCCTCTTATCATGGTGGCTGTACTGGAGGAAAAAACGCAATCAGACTGTTCAGGGGTTACTGAACCCTGGCTCTGAACTGACACTAATTCCAAGAGACCTAGAATGTCACTGTGGTCCAAGCAGTCCGAGTGGTGGCTTCTGGAGATCAGGCGGTCAGTGGAGTTCCAACTCAAGTCGGTCTCACAGTGAGCCCAGTGGGTCCGCAAACCCACCCTGGGATTTCCTCCAGGTCCAGAACGCATACGTGGAAGAGACGCACTCCGCACTGGCAGAATGC